TTTTTTTTTTTTTTTCATTTGTAGTGTAATTTTTTTCTCACTGCTCCATGTATTTGTGATTTTTCAAAGATTTTACTGAATATATATATATATTAGGTGTATCTAAAAAGTTATAAAAAAATGATTAAAAGGTGAAAAAATTTCTCTAAAGGCCAAAAAAAAAGAAAAAAACTTAAAACAATTTTTAAAACCTAAACTAAACGGATACACATTAACATTTATAATAAATTTTTTTTACTAATTTGAAATTTTGAAGGTGTCTTTCAAAGAATGATTACTATGATTCAATTGGGAAGGTTTCATCAACTCGTTATATTTGGATCTTAGAGCATCTATAACTTATATATTAAATTTTGATATGTCAAATAAAATTGACGGCTTGTTAATTTGACATATTTTGAAACTTTCTAACCTATATGCTAAATTTTATTATTGAAAAATGAATTAAAATAAAATTTTATTTCTAAAAAAATATTGTAATTATTTTTGACATGAGCTAAAGAAGCATGCCAAATTTGACATGCTATCAACTTTTGCCAAATGCATGTCATATTTGACATATAGGGTGAAGCAAAAATTTGAGGTCTAATTTGGTTATTGATGTGCCATGTAGAATTTGGCATATAAGTTAGATGCTCTTAGATTTGTGAAAAATGAATAAAAATAAAGTGAAAGTAAGAATAAGAAACATGAATACGTATTTGTCCAAAAAATATTTTTTGGTTACGTGAATAAGTAATTTCATTCCCCTGGACAAATTCAACATCCAAAACATAAAACAAAAGAAAATCGAAAATCATTTTCCAAGAAACGATTGCTATGTCAAGCAAATTGTATGTTGAATCTAGCTTTCGGCCTTTTCTTTTTTTTTTTTTTTTTTAAATATTAAAATTGTAGGTTAAATAATGGAGCTGTACCATAAGCATACATGCAATAATGCAACTGTGTATAGTAGGAAACAGGACCTTTTAGACATTAGTTTTGATACTATGATTAGGATGAATCAATTCCAATGAAACTAATATCATTCTTTTTTTAATATATATAATTCAGGGTGTCTGAACTAATTCATGCACATCTTAACTAATCGTTGAAGGATCAATTCTACCGTATACTAACGGGAGATCTAATTAAAGCTAGAATAGTGTTCCGTATGAATTAGACCAATAATAAGATTGATAGCACATAAGAAATTTCGAACCAGAAACCTAAAGAGAAGTAAACTCCTAAATCCCAAAAGTACACCACTAGACCAATGCCTAGGGATTAATGAAACTAATATCATATATACAACTATCACTCATTAAATTAATATTACATATTTGCTTAATTTCTATATATATAATATTTTATGAGACAGTTGTTGGATATTAAAAAGATAAGTACTCTGAAAATTAGGTGGGCATTAAGCTCATCACCTTTTGCTGCTGGCATCTTAATCATGCTTTTCACTTATTCTTTTAGTTAATTATTATAGTGGCATAACAAACCATTATAATTTTGGATTGGTGTAAAAGTTGGAATATGTTAGTCAATTTTGAATCTTTTCCTAATATAATTTGCTTCTTTTTTTTCTTTTTTCTTTTAAGGGTTCTTGTTTACAGCTATCATTTGTTTTTACATGCGTTTATGTCTTTATCTTTTTCTCTCTATATAAATCTGTGTGTGCATGCGCAAATGGAGAGAGGAATTCTCCCACTACTACTAATGTGACGTGATTTGTTTTTTTAATGCATTTTGATATGTATTTATCTCTCTATGTGTGAGTGTGCAAATGGAGAGCGTGAATTCTCCCACCACTATTAATTTGAGAATTTGATGTTAACATATTCTTTGTTGTATGTAGCCGACTCTATGAAAATATTATTAACTATTCTGCAAGCACCACATATTGTCCTGGAGTTGCTTGCTAAATAAGTTCTTTAAATCCACATTATGCAATTTAATTGGGTTTTAAGAGCTATAGCAAGACTCATATATTGTATTTTTTAATGAGTATGTGAAACACATAATAACACAAATGTGGGATCGAGGACAAGATTCTCATGTTCCTTTTTGCAAGGGGAATATGTGGATCCACCAAATGCAAAAAAAGGGTCTCATCTTTTTCTTTCTATTTAAAAAGTAAAATAAAATAAAAAATGGTCTTAAAAAATCAATTAATCTTTATAGATGTCACATGCTAGCTATGGCCAAATGCATCCAAACATACATGTTGTGGACAAAATTTCACAACACACACCCCAACAAGAGCAAAACCTTGTTGGAATATCAAATTTTATATATTTCTCTTCAAATGAGGAGGCCAGCTAGCTAGTATCAAACCATCATCATCTTTCAAGTGACAAAAGTGCATATTGACTAGATGATAAGTAACATGTACTACATATGACTCAAATAACATGTCATTGCTATGTTCAACCCAAATAACATGTCATTCAATCAAATATGCAATATTAACAGAATTTGGATCTTTCAGTGTAAGTTTTTTTATAAAATTAATTTCAAAATAATTTTTTGTATTATTGAGATTTAATTTTACAAAAAATTGAAAGTATAATTATAGCGATCCCGGTTGTCCCTTTACTGTTCTGTTGTATTCCGGACTCGGTTTCGTGAAGTTGGTAGTGGTATCTATTTTGTTGCCGTCCTTTAATTCCACTTGATTGAGTTTTAGGATGTTTTGAGCAGGGTTGTTACAGGTTGGTTAGGCCTTGGTTTCAATTCCTTGTTGTCCAGTTTTTAGGTGGTCCGCTCGAGCGGGTCTTCTTGTGCTCGAGCGGGGATTGCACACCTCCAGTATTTTCGTGTTCCTGCAAAACTTCTGCAGATGTGATTTTTACGCTCGAGCGGGTTTGTTTACGCTCGAGCGGTAGCGCTCGAGCGGGTTTGGTGGCGCTAGAGCGGGTAGTACTTTATGGGTATAAGTTCTGGGAGGTGGAAATCTATGCTCGAGCGGACTGGTTTTCGCGTTCGAGCGGAAGTGCTTTATTCTTGTGTCTTGGCGCTCGAGCGGGCCTTATTGCGCTCGAGCGTATTCAGATTTTGTTCTTGGCGCTCGAGTGTTGTGTTCTCCGGTCGAGCAGGTCATACGTATATGAGTTATCCGCTGGGTGATTTTAAATCACTTTTTGCTTTTCTTTCTCTCTCTTACTTTTTCTAAAACTCATTTTGAGAGCTCCTCTCTCTAAAACCTTGACTTCTCTCTAAGTATTGATATAGTAGGAGTGAGTTCCTTCTCTTCAGCCTTTGTAAAAGTTGTGTTGATCGTCGATAACGTCGTTTTGATCCGAAAATCTTGGTCTTTGGAGCACTTTGGTTTTGGTCTCTTCTCCATCCGAGCTCTAATTTCGAGGTAGGGATAACCTACTCCTTACTATGAGCTTTGTCTTTAAATTTTAATATTTTGAGATGTTGGGGTTGGTTTGGTAATTTTATGAAAATTTGGGGCTTTTGTGTAAATTTACAAAAGATTGGGGTTTTAGCTTTATAAAACCTAGAAGCATGTTTGGCATGGAAAAGTGAAATTAATGTTAAAACATTAAAGAAAATGGAACCTAAGGGTTGTAATGTTAATTATGGAATATGCCCTAATTACATTGGTTAATTAATTTGCATAATTAATAAAAAAGAAATGAGAAATTGATTTGGAAATGCGTGAAGTTAAAGGGTGTAGTTGGATTATTTATCACTCACCTGGTTGAAATGTTGATTATATATATATATATATATATCCGTTGTTGCATTTATTTTCTGTATAGAAATAACTGCTTTGGGCTATCGATGGAGAATAGTCTTGATTGTTATAGACAATGCATGATGATTAGGCAAACTAAAACTAATCACTGGAATGTGTCATTGGGTATGACGGTTGAAAGGATACATTAAATGTATGTGTTGTGTGATGATGTGTATAATGATTGTTCATATGCATTGTGTTGTGTTGGAGGAGATAGGGGATGTACTCCATGGTTTAGGGGAAGATAGGGGATGGACCTCTAAACCGGATGTTGTTGGGAGGAGATAGGGGATGGACTCCATAGATAAAGCTCATATGCTTATCTATTAATGTGTTGACAGAGCTCATATGCTTGTCATTGGAAGTGTGATAGTGCTCTTATGCATATCTATGGAAGTGATGATATAGCTTGTATGCTTATCTGTTGGTGTGTATGTGATATAGCTAGTATGCTTATGTGTTATGAAATGGGAAAGTGTTTAACATGAGTTATTGTCTCATATGAATTGTTTGGCCAGGTTCTGAGCCATGGTTATAAATTGAGAATTGCAAAAGAATTGGAAAATGGGTTGTAACATGGACTTGTATGTCATGAAACCGTAAAGTGTGATAAGGGAAAGTATCAGTGTTGGCCATCTATCAACTGCTAATCTTTTAGTCATTGTCCATATTTGGTTTAGTGTGTTTCTACTGGGCTGTGGCTCACCCTATATGGGAATATCATTTTCAGGTACAGGTAGCATGCCACTTCCAAGGACGTAGCTTGGGAGGCTAGAGGCAGGCGGACTTTTGTTGTTTTATTTCTTTGATGTATTACATGTATATTCAAGCCAAGGGCTTAATGTGTAAATGAGTTAGTACTCTTTTGTTATAACCAAGTGTTAACTTGGAAAGCTGTAAGCCTTTAGGGCATTTGCTTTGTTGTTAACATGTAATACTTTTGGTAATGAAATTCTGATAAATAGATGAAAGTGGAGCTTTTATATATCAATGCATGTCTCTATTGATGTGTTTAATGTTATTATCTTGGGGGCGTTACAATAATAGTAATGATAGTCTCTTTAAAATAAATCTCAACTATATAACATTCATTCTCAAACTAAACCAAACCAAACCAAACCTTAAGTCTCATCAAATGAGGTCGGCTACATGAATCCTTCTTCTCCACGCGGCCCTATCAAAGGCCATTTCATTAGTCAAATTAAGTAGATTCATATCTCTATTTATAACGCTAGTCAACGTTAATCTAGGCCTACCACTGCTTGTATTGCAAAGCAGTTAGCTGCTAGAGTTGCTGTTTCCAATCTGCATAAGAACACTATGAAATCATTTTCGGAGACGTAAGTGTTCATTTTAGCTGATTTTGTTTTTTGATTTTGGAATGTTTTGTTATGGAGAAAGTGGGTTGTAATGGATGGCTGATGCAGGATCAAAGTCATGTACTACTTTTGTGATAAGAAATCTGGGCAGAAGGCTTCTCTTGTTGCTGATGATGTTTATGAGATTATCATGAAGGTAATCACTTATGAAGATTCAATTAACATTTGCTATCAAGTATTTCCATAAATCCTATGAGATGGGCACAACATGATTTATTTATATAGAATAGTAATTTGGATATTTTTCTTTTTATTTCTTTTTATTTGTTTATTTTTGCAATTTCAGAATGCTGCTCGATTGTATCCATGTGTTGCTTAGGGAGAGAACACTTGAGTTTCTCGAATCCCTACCAAAAAAATATAGAATAATGTTTTGGACTTTTTTTTTTTTGGAAATTTCATGACTCTTAATTTGAGCTTGATCTTTGATATGTGTGTGGAGTCTACTCATATATATGTGGGCTCTATATTATGAGTAATTGTGATAAAAATGTGAATTGTAGGAGCTATGTATGCGTGAGGGTCTCTACCACAATTGAAAAATATATAAATTATCTAGCATTAGAATAATTGTAGGAATAACCATAAGTAATGAATAAAGACGGGACCAAAATGAATCACTCAGCGGGTGTGACAGAGTGAGTGACATAACTCCAAAACTCGCCAACCAAAACTACGTAGCGTGCCGCTAACCATAACGCACACACCCCTTTCTTCTCTAACGCCCACCATATTATATCTCGGGGCACTCTGTCATATGCTTTCTCAAGGTCGATAAACACCATATGAATGTCTCTTTTCTTTTCTTTTCTTTATACTTTTCTATTACTCTCCTCAAAAGATAGATCGCTTCCATTGTTGACCTACCAGGCATAAACCCAAATTGATTCTCTGACACCTCTGTTATGTCTCGCAATCGGTGTTCCATCACCCTCTCCCACACTTTCATTATATGACACATTAGCTTAATTCCTCTATAGTTGTTACAATTCTGGACATCACCTTTATTCTTATAGATTGGCACTAAAATACTCTTCCTCCACTCATCTGGCATGTTCCTAGTCAACAAAATTTTGCTAAACAACCTAGTCAACCAAGCAACTCCCTTTTTACCCAAACACTTCCAAGCTTCAATAGGAATATCATCGGGTCCTAAAGCCTTATTTGATTTCATCTTCTTAAGTGCAATCTCCACTTCAAAGTACCTAATCCTGCGATAGAACCTATAGTCTTGGTTATCGTATTACTGGCTATTTCTTCCCCTATTGTTGTACTTCCATGTTCCTCATTTAACAGTTTCTCAAAATAATTCTTCCATCTTTCCTTAATCTCATCATCCTTCACCAATACCTTAGAATCCTCACTCTTGATGCACTTTACTTGATTAAAATCTCTTGTTTTCCTCTCCCATATCTTAGCAAGTTTGTAAACCCTCTTCTCTCTCTCCTTACTATCTAGTCTAGTGTATAGGTCATCATAAGCTTTCAACTTAGTCTCTCTTACTACTTTCTTGACCTCCTTATTAGCCAATCTATAGCTCTTAAGATTTTTCTCAGTTCTATCATCCTGCCACTTTTTAAAGCATTCTTTTTTTGCCTTAACTACCGCTTGAACCTCTTCCCTCCACCACCAAGTTTTCCTAGAGCTGGGTCCCGTTCCTTTCGACTCTCCAAGCACTTCCCTTGAGATTCTCCTCATACAATTGGCCATCGAATTCCATATAGTGTTAGCATCACCTTCTAAGTTCCAAGTACCTTCCTTATCCATTCGATTCTTAAATATTTCTAGTTTATCCCCTTTTAGGTCCCACCATCTCGTCCTACGACACCCACCATCCTTCCTAGCTTGGTATTGTCCTCTAAAACATAAATCTAGTACCAAAATCCTATATTGAGAGACCAGACTCTCTCTAGGAATCACCTTACAATCATTGCATTTTAAGCAGTCCACTTTTCTCACTAAGAACTAATCTATTTGGCTCTTAACTAATCCACTCTTAAAGGTTATCAAATGCTCATCCATCTTCTTATACATAGTATTGGCCACTACCAGGTCAGAAGCTAACGCAAAATTTAAGATTCTCTCTTCAGCCTCATTTCTCTCACCAAAATCGTATCCACCATGCACTCTTTCATAACCTAGTTTATCTATGCCCACATGGCCATTAAAATCTCCACCTGTAACCAGGTTCTCTCCTACGGGTATCTCCTGTAAGGTTTCATCCATTTGCTCCCAAAAATCCCTCTTAGTCTGATCATCTAACCCTACTTGAGGGGCGTAAGCGCTAATAATGTTCACTATATTCCCTCCAATAACTAGTTTAACTAGCATAATCCTATCTCCTTTCCTAGTGACCACCACCACACTTTCCACAAGACCCTACCCCATTCCTGCGTCTATCCTTACCACTATAATAAAGTTTAAAACCAGTATCCTCAATTTCCCTAGTTTTCTCTCCCGTCCACTTAGTTTCTTGTATGCAAGCTATACTAACTCTCCTCTTAATCATAACATCTACCAATTTCATCGTCCTACCAGTTAAGGTTCCTATGTTCCAAGTGGCTACCCTAAACCTATAGTCTTGGACTAGCTTCTTTACCCGCGCTCGTCCAGAAAAACGCTGAAACCTTTGCCCATTTTTCACTGCACCCAGGCGTCGATGCGGCGCTCCTTGCTCACTTTTCGAAACACCCGGAGGCAGGCGCAACGCGTCACTTGAGGTGAACGACCTAGCATTTAAATGATTCAAAGTAGGGTTCATTTTCATAAGGGATCCGAGCGGCTTTTACGTGTTGGCTGTCGACTACCTAACACACAATCCTCCTCCTTAACCCGGGCTTGGGACCGGCGGAGTTGTTAACAACCCCAGCGGAGTTAACATTCATTCTCAGACTACTTTAAGAAAAATCAATGTAAAAGATCTCGACTATTTGGATCTTTGTGCAATAATATGCTCAGAGTATTGTCAAAATAACTATCTATGTCTACTATTTTATATTACTATATCATGTATTAGTATCATTATCGACACTACATTCGCAATATACATTTGTGATAGTACTCATTACATCAATGTCGTGTTAATAAGTACGATAATAAGCATAATATAATAGGAGGAGGATCCCCTTCATTCCAAATTGGAGGGCATTGTTTAGGCTCGTAGAGCCTACCATAGCCCCCGTTTTAATGATCCGAATCGTTCATTTGTCAGGTATTTTCGTTTGTTTCATCTACAAAAAATTAGGTCGATTCGATAACTATAACTTATTCAATTTATTACGTTTGTCACTAAAAAAATGTTTGGTTTATTTTTAAAAATACAATTGTTGTTTATTTTTTTAGTAAAAATTTGAACAAGTTACAATTATTGGATCGACTTAATTTTTTTTGTAAACGAAATACATGAAGCGTCTAACAAAATGAACAGTTTGAATCATCGAAACGGGACCCGTGATGGGTCTCACAGGCACAAACAGCGCCCTCCAAACTGGAGGGGATCTTCTTTCAATATAATATAAAAGATGATAAATGTAGTATTATTGATTTGATTTAGATTTTGTGCATAGAGCAATGGTATCATCTTGTAAATTCTATAAGAAATTTATTCAGAATAAAAATAAAAGAAAAAATTTGTTAGCCAAATTCATTTTAAATATGAGATTATATGGTTTACAATAAATCTAATCTCAATTTCCACTTTGTGAATCTTGAATAAATTTCTAAGAACCTAGTTTTTATCCGTAGACATATAATAGCTCCGTTTGAGAAGTTGATTTTTTGACTTTTTGATTTTTTTGATTTTTTTAGTTTGAGACTAAAAAGTTTAGTTTGAAAAGGACTTTTAGTTCTTTTGACTTTTTTGTGAGAGAAAGAATGTAATGATTATGGGTTGAATGTGATATTTTATCTTATTAAATTAAAAAGCCTATTTTATTTTTTGTGACTATTTTAACTAAAAAAACCTCTAAACTAACTTTCCAAACAGAGCTATTAATATCAAGTTCTCACCCTAGTTTCTAAGGACCCTAGTTTTCCCCCCTTTTTTGATCAAGGTGCTGATTAAAAAAAAAAAAAAAAAAGGTTGTGACTTAATTAGGTCTAATCAACTAGAAAGGATCTACATCCCTGATTGATGCATATGGTTATGCATGCCTAAAACTCATCATGTGTGTATGCAGACCATTAGTTTTCCTATGGGCCATACAAAACCACTGTCTTTCCCAGTATGTGGAAAACCAGATATATATAATTCCAAGTTGACTGTTATCATGGAATTATTAATTGCTTGCATCCAAACAAATTTTGAGGCCTCACGGGGAGTCATCTATGGGGTACCCCTACCCTACTACTACGTTCAATTCAATCACTTGCCGCATTATGGGCACTCTACCCTCCATTCAACAATTACCCTCTGTTGTCAAAATAATTATTCACTAGTAGTGGAATATCAGTGTTCAAAGTCAGTTATACAGGAGAAAATTTTGCAGTTAAAGACATGATGCAATATTTAGGAACTTTAGGGATCAAACTCTTTCATTCTATTAAGGGGCTGAGGTTCTTGCTATGCCACAAGGCATAGAAGGCTACTGTGAGGCTGGTTAAGGGCGTGTTCTGAATCTCTTTTGATAATTTAAATTATAAATATTGTAAAGTTTGTTAAATAAATTATTCATATAAAAAAAAAAGTAAATTGGACATTTATAATTTTATAATAAGATCACATTTGCTTTTTAAAAAATAAACGGTTAACATGATTTTAATAATTTTTAGAACTAATTAGGACTTGATCATGGGGTTACCAATATCCAATTATATTGATTTTTTACATAAATGATATACTCGACAAACCCTACAATATATACGGTTCAAATTATCAAAATAAGCTCGAGAAAAACCTCTGAAGGCTCTCACAATAAGTCTGTTGTGCCAATAGCAACCTTTATTCCTTTTATAAAGTGAAAATTTTGTTGTAAAAAATATTATGAGATAAATTTTAGCTATCATGTGAATAGTTATGAAAAGGTTGTTTGGAAACGTTTAAAAAAAAAAGAGAGAGAGAGACATTTAGTAACAAAATTTTGAAAATATCATTAATAAATATACTTTTAAAAACAAAATGAATTTGTTGCCAAAAGATTTACTTTTATTAGTTGAAAATTTTAGTTCTAGAAGGACAGTAATTCAAATTAAATACTCCTATCTAATTTCGTCATTAAAAATATAATAATGAATTTTTTTGTGATAAAATATTTCATTCATAAAAAATGATTTAAATTTTAATTTATTGTAGTGATAACACAC